TATATATATATATATATATATATATATATATACATATATACATATATATATATATATATATATATATATAACATTTTTAACCGACGAAACTGCAACTAAGAGACGTTCAGCCAGATGGCAGCACTTGCTCCCTCTGCAGCTCTCTTCGCTGCAGACGCCACCAGTTGGTACATTCAATACCTCAGCTGTACGGCACTGGTATGACTGTCATTTTGAGGGCTATCAAGGCACTTTTATTTTATGCTGGGGCCGGCCGGCTGCGTCTGAAGCTGCATTTCCTAGCTGCCGCTATTAGCTTTCTGAAAGGCACGGTAGTAAAGCTCTGCTTCACGATGTTGGTGGTGCAGCTGCCGTTTCCTTCGATTGCTGGGGCTGCACCAAGGGGAAGCTGCTTTCGCAGCAGCATCAGGCGCTGGTGTGCACGCAGCAAGTCTCCCGGCTTATATGCCCAGGTAGCCATCACTGCACAGACAGCGGATCCAAGGAGCTCGAGAAATGTGAAGACATAAACTCTCTGTGCTGCCGCTGTTGCTGCTGCTGCAGCACCGTCTGTAGCAGAAACAGTAGCGCGAGCGATAGGTTGCAATGCTTCCGCAGCAAGCTCCAGCAACTGTATGAAAAACACCAGGGCCTTTAGGCAGGTAAACTTCCAACCTGAGGTGTACACGCAGCTCAGCTCATACGCAAGCGCAGTACGTATTCCTTGGGTTTCTTGAATTCGGTCACTGCATCACCACATACAGCAACTGCAACATTCATACAAGGCCTCATACTTTAGAGCCTCCATTGATAGCAGTAGCCACGACGGTGCACACTATATACGTCGAGCCTGTTTCATTCTTACCTAGGTTAAAAGGTTTCAGCAGAGGTCTTGTGGCAACGAAGACGACGGCAAGGCCCCACATAGCAAGAACCAGTGAGAAGAAGCAGCAGAGCTGCAGCAGCCGCTGCAGTACTTGTTGATGGCATGCTCCTCCTCCAGCAGCACCAGTGACATCCGTATGAACACCAGCTGCAGCAGCAACTTTCTCTCTCTCGTTCCCGAGATGCATTAAAGTTGATAGCAAGTAACACAACAGCACTCGCAGCAGCTTCAGCACAGTGAAAGGAAGCAAACAACGGTAGCTCATCCGCAGATCCCACTGAGCAAACACACTCATACAATTCATACTTTGACGAACCCACACGATCGAGAAGAAGCAATAGAGAGAAGCTCAAGGAAAGCGGATGTAACAATAGCATCAGCAGCGACGCTCGCAGCGCTACTTACAGCAGCAAAGGCACCGCTACCAGCAGCACAAGCAGCGTCGTTACCGTGGCTGCAACTGCGGTAACAAAAGCAACAGAAAGAGCACGAGGCTGAAGATATCTCACCGCTGAGAAGGGCCTTGGCTTTGTTTTCCAGGCAAGACAGCACAACGGCGGTACGAACCAAATTCTTCTCTCTTTAGCTCCTGTTTTGTTATCTTTTTCCTCATGTGGTGAGGCAGCGTCTGCATCAGATGTGGGCTGTGGCTGTACATGGAGATCGATATTGGTTTCTTTTCTTTGAATATTTCTCAAGGGGGCTTCGCTACTCCGGTCTTTACCCGAAAATAATACCGCTGGAGAAGACCCGTGAGATGTTA